ATCCCAGGCATTTGTTTTGTGAAGTGTCTTCTCTACCTTGCAGAAGGTGAGGAAAGCCATGAAATGCTTCCTCAGGAAAATGTCCTTTTTCAGCTACTCTCACAATCCATGCATGAAGTGTCTGATTCCAGGGAGTTCAAGGCTCCCAGTAACCCAGAATCACCTGTGTTAAATCTTTATCTATAAAATATTGCAACAGGATAACAAGGAAGACCTATGAGCATAAATGTTTCTGTTCTCTTGCTCTGATGTAAGAGGGGTGCTGTTTCTTTTGGAGTTCTTTTAATTTCTTAGTTTTAGTAATCACAAAGTGAAGTGATTACTCTAGAAAGTACAATTTAAAATCTATTAACTATAGCTTTTGAAATATTTGGGTGTTATATGCACAACATAATTATATCAGCTGTGGAAGAAATTCCAGCAATCTGTACATATTGTTTAATAGAAAAATAAAAAGTACTGTAAATAAATAACTACATATTAAAATTACAAATAGAAGTTTAAGTGATATAAATATAGATTGATGGAAATAGATAAAATATTCATATTGTTACAAAATTAATATCAATTTTATACTGCATAGAGAAACTGCTTAATATAGCTCAAATTTTTCTATCATAAAAGTAGGAGATTTATTTCTTGGCTTAGCAAGAGAACGAATTAAATGGATGTTTTCAGTTTATTAATAATGCATTGAGTTATTCTGACCATTCTTATGATAACTTCATTCGCCTTTATATTATGGTTCTATGAATCACTTATCCATACTAGACTATAAGTCTACTGAAGGAAGATTCCTTTTTCCTCATCTCTGTATTACAGTATTTTACATATAGTAGAATCTATTTTTCCTTTTTTCTCTCTTTCCTACTCCATGCTGAACAGGATTCAAATCCATTTACAGAACCAATACAACAGAAAAAATACATTGAAACTAGCTGAGGAAAAAAAAAAAAAGCAATAATCAAGCGTTGGACATAAAATAGAACCGATCTACTTCCGGCAAGCAAGTAACAAATACAAGTCTAAGCTTTCCAGCAGACACTATTAAAAGGGAAACCCAGTCAATTCAGTGCCCTGAAGATCAAATAAACACAATCTGCAGAATAAATACTACTCACTATTCCTGATACTTACACCTGACAGAAATATCTGGTCCTAAAGTAGATATTGTAAATTTAATGGACAACATCCTCTTTATAGTGAACACAACAATGAGTTTCATCGGAGCTATTTCTTATAGTGACCCTCAAGGTAGTAATTCTATAGAGAAGAGATAACACATGATCGGGAACAGCTTTCTGCTGGTCTGATTTAACTCAAGAAGAGATTTTATATTACCTAAAAGAATGGATTACTGAATAACAATTCTGACCAAGTACTGTTTCATTCAGTAAGGGTTTTGTAGCTATAAAGAGTTTGAGTTTGTGTTTCTGACAGTACCTGCAATTGTTTGTGCTGCTAATTACAAAGGAACCAAACACCTCAGCATCTAGCTATGCTGGGGTTGTAGTCAACATGTTTTTGGGGAAAATGCAGGGAGGAATGGCTTGTCTTGGAATACACTGCAGCTGAAGGAATTCTCTCAAGGCAGGCTCACAATTTCCGTAGCTCTCTTTATCTCTAATGCCAGGACAATGGCTGGCAATGAATTGAATTTGCTATACAATTGATTTTATTTTTGACATTTAAACTACCTCTATGCACTCATGCCATGATACTCTCTTTAAAACAAGAGTATTATTCTTTTATAATATAATTAGTATCACTTGATATCCTTTTGCTATGTATGTCTGTCTTTGACCTCTGAGGTATTCCTATTTATGAAAGTAGTTGAAAAAAAATCTCTTGTCCCTGGAAAATTCGTGATTCAAATAGCCTTAAAATGTACTTATTATATATTTATATTATATAGTCAAATAAATCTAAATAGATAAATTATCAACATGAAATATATGAATATATAAATAAAACAAAAATATGCTTAAAGATAATTTGAATCAAAGCTAAATAATCATGAAAAATACATATGTTCTTATATTTATAATTATATCTATAATATATGCTTCAAAATCTATTTCCTAACCACTGAAACCTTACTAGGGGTATTCCACTTCAAACAAATCTCATGGCCTACTTCTCCAAGAGATTCACATACAACACTGGTGTTTTTAGATAGTATTTTATTTTATTACACTCATATCCTTTCAACTACATTTTGGTTATATTTTTGTCTTCTAAAAGATCTATGGCTTCCAGGGGTCATTTGCAAAGTTTATTTTATCTTAGAATCTATTTAACAAAACACATTTGCTTCATCATGTATATCTTTGTTGTTTCCTGATTGTTGAAGTTTTTGTTGCTTTTAATGAAGGATGTATAATTCTTTTAGTTTCACATATAAAGGAATTTACACATTAAAATATTTCCTTAACTGAGATATGCTTTGGTCCTTCTATCTCCTAACAAATAATCCAAGATTCTTAATAACTCACACATATCCTTCCTATTTCATAATTCTATACTTTAGAGAATGTCAAATTAATCTTCCAATAATGGTCATTATATACAATTTTGCTCATTTTCACTGTTTGAAATAAAAGCCTTGCAATATTTTAGAGTAGCTTTCAATTTTATACAAATTTATAATTACTTGCTATTTCCTTCTTCCACAAACCATGCAGGATTTTTATGAGCAATAGTTATTATGCCCTTTCCCAAAAGTTTCAAAATCATGGGTTCCATGGCTTTAAATAGTCACTGGATGAGGGCTGCAAGGAAGAGAAGATGCTATCTGTCCCACGTGTCCTCCATTAGGACTTATGCTTTGTTTCTTAAAGTTAGAATAACCTCTAAAGTTTTAATTTCCCTGCATAAGCATTCCCATCATTACTATTATTGCTTAATTTTCCTTCTGTCTGGTCCTTAATTTTATTAAAATGGCAAAAATATTATTTTCCTCCATCTCTTAACATATCTTTGCCTCTTCTAGCTAAAGCTTCTGCAGTGATTATTCTTTCTTTGTGTCTTACTTTGACAAGAACACTTGATACTACACAGATTTCTTTATTCAGGGTGCCCTAGCTTAGTGTGGAACTTTCTGCTCACACCATTTAGCATTTTGCTTTTATTTTCAAGTTTTACAACCAAATCAAAAGACTAGAATAAAAAAAGAGATAATATTTGAAAAGTGCTTATCATGGCACTCTGAGTAAGCAGGACTACACTTGATTTTTGCCAGAAAACGACACTGAGATACAGAGAAATTAAATTAATTGTTCAAGATCCCACACATGCGAAGTCACAGAACAGAGATTTGAAATCAGTCTGTTTGACTCCAGAGCCCAAGCTCTTAAATATTATATTTATGTTATTTATAAATGTTTTCCAAGGAGTATGAAAGAGGACAGAGGAGGAGCTTAGGAATAGTCACTGAGAACAGTGAGAGGGGAGATTGATCAAGGATGGGGCAAACATCAAGTGCTTCTGAAGCCCCAGCATGGGAACCAGCTGGTAGTAACATAAATCCTTTATTTTAAAAAGGAGGGAGAGTAAATGTCAAAATCATTCTATTTTTGTATGCTATCATACTCTTGATTTTTCTAAAATTATATAAGAACAAGTATTTATTTTCTTTAACTAAAAAAACCTTATGTTTCTTAATTGTATTATCTTTGTCATATTCTAAACTATGCCAAGTACCAGGAATAACTTTATCCCTACTTCTTTTTCCTTTACATTAACCAACAATGCCTGTTTTTTATTGTTATTAATATATCCCCTCTCTGCTTATGTCTTGGTAAGATAGAAGCATTAAACACAGAATGTGCATTTGAATTTGTCCCAATCTTTATATTTTATAATCAATCTCCACCAGAAAGATCCCCATGAGTGCTTGAGCTTTTAGTTCTCCTTTTAACTTCTTGTCTAGATAAAGTCATTATTGCAGTGTTTTGCTTTGTTTTTATTCTTTTTTTTTTTTTTTTTTTAAGATGGGGTCTCACTATGTTACCCAGGCTGCTCTCAAACTCCTGGGTCAAGAGATCCTCACGTCTCAGCCTCCTGAGTAGCTGGGCCTGCAGGAGTGAGCCTGGCTCATTATTGCAGTTTTTAATTTATATGTCTAAACTGAGGCCTCCAAACAGTATCTACTTGCATTTGGTTTTAACTTTGTCATGATGGTGCTTTGTTAATGTTCTATCTGAAACCCTAAGCAGAGGCCACTGAAATTCTTTGACTGACTGCAGTGACTGTACTCACCTGCCCAGTGAGGCGACCATATGGGCAGAGAGAGAATTTCGCTTTTGAGTTCCAAGAAGAAGCTTAAAGCCCATGACTCCTACAGTGACACCCCTCTCTGCATAGGCTTCTACCCATTATTGTCCTCTCTGTTTATCTGTTCTCTCTGTCCTTTCAGTGGAATAGCATTCTCTGTTTCTACACCTGCCTTCCTTTCCTAAAATGTCTATTTTTGTCCTGGAACCCTTGTTCTCTGATAAACTCTCTACTTCTTCATACTCTTCACAGAACATTCTCATTGACTTTTTTTCGTTTTTGCCTTAACTGAAATTTGAATCTCCACCCAGGACACCTATGTAGTTAATGGAGATGTAGGTGGCCACAGGTCTTGTCCTTTATTGTCCTTTCTACACACCCTTCCTCCAGGATCCATTACTTCATTTGAAGATCATGCCATCTAGGTGTCACACACCTGCAAGCCTTTCTTTTTTATCATCTTTCTCCTACTTTTGCTGAAGACCTCAGCAGTGGGCTCAACATCTTCCTTACAACTCAAATACTGAAATTATCTTTGATGATTTTAACATTCGTGGAGTTGTCCCATCTGATGCTCTTAGAGTATGTCAACTTCCTCAGAGATTATATTATCCATAGTTCTGTAACCACCAAATGCATTGGCACACCCTAAACTCTTGCCGCCCAAAAATGTCCCTCTTCTGAAATTCATTTTATAAGTAGTATTTTTTCTCTTACTATTTTAGTTTATGATCTATTTTCTGGGCTCCTCAAGAAACCTGCTGTCTGTATTTCACTGGGTAAGTAAAAACTTTAAGGTGATAACTGTCTTGGCTCCCCTGTCCCCATCCTACACACGTAGGTTCCACAGTCCTTTTTCATTCTTTCTGACTGAAAAAGATGTTTCTTCCCTTCTCCGGCTACCTTTCTCTAATGCTCTTACACTTTCACTTTGTATTCACTAGCAAACTTTTCTTTTCCTTCCTATCCTCCTTAGATACCAATGATATCTTTCAATGACTTTCTGTCTTCAATATACTTTTTCTCACTTGTATTTGGGTCTCATGCAACCTACAAATTCCAGCTTTGAATCAAAAATATCCTAAGAGTTTTCTTTCAAATTTGAGCTGCTGACAGAGGAGAAAGTGACCTACTGCTACTATTACAAATTCAAGATCTGTGAGTAATTTTCCTCAATACTTTTTCTATGTCCTTAGCTATGTCTCACCTAAACTTGTCTACTTTCTCACTCCCTCATTTCTCTTCAGGCCATTGAAATGTGGCTTCTGCCTCTGCATGCCATTGAACTTCTTAAAGGAACTGTGATCTGTTAATTATCTCTAGCTTCTTTTACTTTTCTTCAGAATTTGGTACATTTGACTACTTCTTTTCTGTGGGAATCATTTTTTGAAGCTCTTTACTATTATATTACTTGATTGTTATTTTTTTTCTTTTTGGTTGAAATTTCTCATATTATCTTCTGAATGTTTATGTTCATGAACTTCTGTGTTCTTATGAAATATTAGAGCTCCCCAAATTACTCCATACCCTTACCCACCTGCTTTTATATCTCAGTGTATGCTCCCTTTGATACACTCTTTAATGATACCATACACAGATGCTTCCCAAAACTTTAAAACAATTCTTGTTGCTAGGATCCACAGAGGTATATGAATATCTCACATCTCTCTTTGGATGGGACAGGCAACTCAACTCAATTTTTTCAGAAAGAAACTCATGATCCTTCCTCCCTCACGCTCGATCCTCCTCTTAGTAAAAGGCATTGCCAATTACCCAGTTTCATAAAATAGAAACCTAAGATTTATCCTGAACTCCTCTGTCCTGCTGGTTCCTACACTCACTTAGTGACTAAGGCTAAGTGACTTGCACCAAGTCTCATTCATTTCCTTCAAAATTTCTCTCTTCTCTTATTCATCTCCATTCTTGCTGCCTCTCTTGAAATTTTAATCACTTTAAGCCTTGATTACTGTAAGAACCTTCTAACTTGTATTCCTGTCTTCAAACACAATTCAATCTTCACAGTGCTGCCAAAGTCACACCTTAATGAAGAATCAAATATAGTGTATCCACTAACACCTTAAAACCTTTCACTCACTCCTCTTTGCTTTCAGGATAACGTTCAAACTTGGTTCTCAATGCCATTCACAGCTCTGACCACAATAAACCTCCCACCTTATGCCATATATACCTTTTTTTTTTTTTTGCCAACCTATCTATTCAGAAATACACCATGTTTTCAACTGCATTGTTTTCTCCATTAAAAAAAATATTATCCCAACTTGTATCATACATTGATTCTACATGGCTAGCTCCTATCTATTCTTAAAAATTTAGATCAAAATTTAGATCAAAGTCATCTTCTTGGGGAAACCCTCCACAGCCCTCTATTTTGATATAGCTGCTGCTCCTTTTTGACCTGTTTGAAGCTTTCCATGTTTACCACCCTGTACTTGGTGGGTTTTCTCATTCCATTTTTCTGTCTAGACTCTAAGTTCAATGCAGTCAGAGGCATAGTAGTAACAATTTTACATCCATGTTTCAATAATGTCTGGCATGTATTAGTCATTCAAGAGCCATTTAATGAATATATATTCCTCAATGAATAATTAAAAGCATATTGCTTTAAGGAATATGTAGCAGTATGAAAAATGATCTACTGCTAAGCAAAAAAATGTATAAAATTACAAATAAACAATCATTGGAGCTTTGTAAACATATAGAGGAAAAAGAGCATGAAAATTAATCCAAATACTAATGGTTGAATTATGAATCTGGGTTTACTTATGATTTTTCTGTTTTCAGAATAATTTTATTAAATAAGTTTATTAGTTTTAATACAAATAATATTAAATAAACTATGCATTGGCTTTTTGTTGTATTAACTTTTTGATCACATTTTATCTGTATATCATTTTCCTTTGTTTTCCATTCTATTTTCTGTCATAACACAAAAGAAATATCCCCCTAGTATGTAAAAAGGAATAGCAAAGTAGTCTCTTTTCCCTCAAAAGTTTTCAATACAGAGATATAGAGCAATGCTTACCAATCAAATTGTTTATGCAAATAACTGCATCTAGATTGGCTTATAACTAAGTGCAGTGGAAACTATCATTCACCTCTGATGAGCCAAGCAGATAGCATATGCAAATCTCAGAGCTGCATAATAGCTTTTTCTGGACCTCTAACTTCAGTTTCCTTTCAGAATATTAGTTTTAACACCACTAGTCTACAAACTTCATGGACATTAACTGGACAGATTTTTTTTTGGTTTATTTTTTTCTGAAATAAAGTTTTTTAAGATATAAATAATAACAAATATATTACATGCCAATACCTGCTTTTTATAACATCAAAATATGGGACTTCCAGATATTTGCTTGGAGGCTATTCAAATAAAAATAATCAATCATTTCTTTTGTTTTGGACTATGTGTCAAATGACTTTTAGGCAAATCACTTAAGACTATAACTTAAAAATAAATTTACATTAAATTTTTATTAAATGAGCCCATCATTTATTTTACCCTAGAACATCACATTTTCCTGCTGAGTTTTGAAAATTAGCAAAATCTTTTATGTTACTACTTTATTTTACTGATTTGCTACCAGTGGTTTAGATAAGAAGTTTTATTCTGTATTGTCTATAAGTACCTTATTTTTTTCTATTCATATATAACAAGGTCCTTCTTTATTTCCATTTATCCTTAAAAATCTTCCCTCAATGTTAATACTTGTTAATTAATAGTATTACCTTTATTAGTAATTTTTTTCACTGTTAACTCAATAGATAAGTAATGTTGATACATTTCAATCTATCCAGTATAATGTATCATAATGATTTAAAAAGGTGCACTAGTTATAAAATATAATCCAATAAGTCATACTGAATTTCTCAAAGACATCTTGGAAAAAATAGACTTAAAATGAAAAATTACATTTTCTTTTGTCTATTGTATTGTTAGAAGTTTTAGAAATACACTACTGTTATTCAGAATCACACATTTCAATCTAAAACATGTTACAGAACATGACCTACTTCAATATTTCCTTATATATCAATTAGATGAGCTAAATCAATAATAATCTTAAGGATACACGCAATCAAAACATAGAGTGCCATTCAGGTACAATTTACATTGATGGACAAAGTTGCTTTGCAAATTTCCTATAACTGTGTGAAACAAAGAGTAAAAACTCTAACGTATTGCTTAAATTGTGAGAGCATACTGGGGTAATTTCCTTTTACTCTTGGCCTATGCGACTTGTCTATGACAATAGCTTGCTATCAAATTTAAGACCCTTATTCAGGAGGTTAATACGAGGTAGGAACTCCATTCAGTGTTATTTTGGCTTAAGGGCATAATGTCACAATTTGGTGCATCCTCTAATGACTTTTTTTTTTCTAAAGGCAGCTTACAGCTTAGACCTAGTTCAGCGAATTTCCTTGTAAGGTCCTTGGAAGACTGGAGGAAAAAAAGTACAATTGATTGCGTGGCCAAATTTCTGTTCATGCCTGCTTACTGATTTTTGTTCATTTCACAAATAAACAAGGCATGAATACATCAACCCACAGACCATAAACAATAAAGAACTTCATCCTGTAAGTTTGCTACGGCCAGCAGTTTGTGGCTGAATCTGCTATTTGTCATAAGATAAATGATAAAGTGATTGCCATTTGTCACTGAATACACAAGAGGAGTGCTCAGCTGTGAACCACTCAAATGCAGACAACAGTAAATACTGCCATTCTTATTACTAACTTCCTTTAAAAGGGCCCCCTAAAACTATGGAAATAAAAGTACCTTAGTGTTTTGGGTAAAAATTCTTATTCTTTTAACCTAAGAAGAAAAATCATAGCATAAGCCCTAAACATCTGAATACTCCCAGTTAAAAACCTTGTATTTACTGTAACATGGAATGCATGCAAACATAGGCCATCTTTTATAAAGAAAGGTGTTTTATAAAGTTGAGCATTGAATTTAATTTATATGTATTGTTCTCACTTTTGTACTGTTCAGTGATTTTTAATACAAACTTTTTTATGTTTCTGAGAGTCACTGGTGCTTGACGGCTTTCAACTATATTAATAGAGGTTATAACAGCACCCATACATTAATACAGCCTGTGTTTTATCTAAACTCTGATTGAATTTAGGGAGTGCCTAAATTCTGTGTTGCTATACTTGCTGCCAACTACATGAACTTTATTAATTTCTTTGAAAGGCTATCAGACAACAAAATAGTGAAATATACGCAAATAACATATCAAGAAAAAATGACTGCTCATAAAAATCTCTAAGCTAAAATATTATTTAGTGGCAAACACCATACCAGATAATAAGGGAATGTCATAATTATAGCACTTTACACTACAATAAAAACGCTCAAAATTTGGAGCCTATATATAAAAGAAGTATAAAAAGTCACAGAATTTGGGAGTTTGTGTCATGCAAGAAAAAAGCAAAAATGCAAAGTAGCTGACACATATTGTTTGAGATTTTAAAAAATGTTTATAACTCTCAGTTTTATCATGGAATATATCACTTTTCACAAAGAACTCAGATGAAATAACACATAACCTGAAATATCTTTACACCATTAGACACAGTTCCTTCAAGATTAAGGTTGAAATACACTGGTGGAGAAATGTAGGGAAGTATGCACTTTATGGTATCTTTAAATCCAAGCTGAATAACAAGTAGAAAAATAAGTATTTAGTGGCAGATATTTCTGGAAGCTGATCTTTTAAATTCAAATGATTGTAATTTTTCTACAGTACCACAATAAGACTAAATTTTATAAAATCAAATTATAAGTTTGTCTTTTATACTATAGCCCAATATAACAAATTTCAACCTCTTTATTCAAAATATATTTGAAATAACACTTTAAAAATATCACTCTTTACACCTTGTGCTAAAGCATATTGAGAAATCTTTCTAATCTTTGGTGCTGGGAGTTGAGATTTCCTGACATAAGCTAATACATTTTTCATCAGGGCTAATGGATGAAAATGATTAGTTAGATCAAAGGAATGTATGCATAGTCTCTCACTATAAGTGTCAACACTACATATTAAATCAATTTTATAAAAATTTAGTTATGGCTCTATTATACATTACTGTGGTATACAGAAAAGTATAGCTAACATCATTTAATATTATTGCTAATTCCTGTGCATTAAAATGGAAAATCATCAACATTTGTGTTATATTCATATAGGAATCCTGAGTATATCCCAATATCTCTTCAAATAGTGTATTTGTAATGTGAACATTTGGTTTAATGATCAATTATTAAGTAGGCGAAGCTAATAGTATTATTTTAAAACATAAATATAAGCCAGATAAATCTTGGTTTTCATTACATCACATCAACACTCGTTTCTCATATTTTCTCTCTTAAGAATTTATTTCTTTGTTTACTTCTGCATTATCTACCACTTCATTTTTCTATCTTGATAAGTCTGTTTTTTAATAGATTAGGTTATTTCACTGATATATGCATTTTATTGCCTTTATAACATTCAAAATATTCTTTCAGGGGCTTTTTTTTTTTTTTGGTATACAAACAGAAAACAGAAAAAGGAAAGGCTGACTTTTAGGCTTTTGACAGGAGTCTTGTATAAGTGGAAGACTTTTAATTCTCAAATTGTTTCACTTCAATAACTCTTTTAAAGTTGTTGCGCCAAGATGCCTGGCGGATTAAGCTCCATTGCCTTTTCTTGTTTTGAACTAATGTATTCTTGATCACCGTTTAATGAAACTATATACCACATGGAGATTTCACATTAGATAAGCCATGTGAAACCCTCATCAGACAAGTAGCTCTGGCTGGTGGTAATCCTTCAGATGAAAATTTCAGACTAGCAGGTTTTCCAATTTAAATGAGCCCCTTTAACTATAAAAAATTGGCACGGTATGATTGCTAAAAATTATTTTTAAATTTTTATGTTGCCAAAGTGCCCTGGTGGCTGTGAAAAACAGAAATGCTGCCGTAAATACAGAAAACATTAACTGGTCACTGAGGGGATCCAATTTACAACCCATAGAGACAACTCACACAGCTCACTGACACTGGCGCTATTGGGTTTGTGATAGGGCATTCCACTCTGCTCCCCCCACACAGAAGCAAAGCTCATCTTAAATATGCAATTAAATAGATTTATTCCACAAGTTTCTCTAGTCAGTGGTTATTACTCACTCTTACTTCATTGCACTCTGATCTATAGAATTTTCATGATGTGTTCAGGTAGCCTTTACGAAGCAACAGATCTTGTTATGAATTTTCAACAAAAAATTATTTTGGGGGATTAACACGTGCTATTTAATTTTTCATTGAAGTGATTCAATTTATGTTAAAAGACTTACCTGTTATCCATGTTTATTCTAACCTATCATTGATGTACCTATTAATATTCCTATAGATTGAATTATAACTAATAGAAATCAGTTATTCTCAATTGCAGATTTGGATTTCAAACAAGAAGGAAAAAGAGCATGTTTAGATTTGTTTTTAATGTGTAACTATATTTTGTTTTAGTCTGTCACAAGTGTCAATGTTTTGTGTACAAGCACAGAATATGTCAGGAATTATTCTCTTTTGTTTGTAGTTGATAAAATTAATAGACATGAGTTTGAAAATATTACTGATGATATATTTACTTTGGAATGCCATTGTCAACATATGATAAAACTTTGTTTTACAGAGTAGGAAGAAGTATGTTACTCAAGAAGCAAAGGAAGAAGTACTTACAAGGAACCAAAAGCTATAGCTAAATGTTTCAAATGTGAGGAATAAACAATGAACTCAAGACTTCTATGCAAGCAGTGAAGGAAGGACGACAGATTGTATAAGAAGTCAGTCCAATATATATACATTACTGCCATTAATAATGGGATACACTAATCAAACAATGAAAGAACTGGCCAGTTTAAAATAGAAAGTTACTGCGAACAAAGGTGTTTGATTATGCTCTTCTTCAAATATTAGTCTATATTTGGGGTAAAACAGAATCAGACTCAAATTCGTAAGACAGAATTCTGTCTTATGAATCAATGGTTTCCAATTAGGCTTCCAATATTGATGAACTACATGTAATTAGAGTGTATTCTGTAATAGTGAACTATTTTATAGCTTAATGAACAAATAATAGGAAAATATGTACAATTATTAGCATCAAGCATTACACAAATTTTAAAAAATCTTTCAGGTAGCAGAGTGGCCATTATTCAGGTTTACTTAACCTGCTCACAGTTACTTAATGAAATCAGGTCACTTTGGTGTTATTGCCTCTTGTAACTAGTTGCAGTCAACTGAAGCAGAATAGAAAGGTTAATTTGCATCTATGCCAGACCAAAAAGTCCCATGCAAAGACCCGGACACAACCTTTTCTCTCTAAAGTACTACAACATCAAATGCTGTTAGATACCACCCTCGTATCCTTGGGTGAATGTGTAGGGCATATAATTCCCTAGCCTCCTCCTTGCCAGAAGGTGCATTGCAGCTTGAAAAAATCATTTGAGAGAGGGTTGGGAAAGAGGGATATCCTTATCTTTCATCACAATTACTGCAAGAAACAGGAAACTGCAAAATACAGAGGGAAACCTGAACAGAGAAAACACTAATTTCTTCCAGAGTAAGCAGTGTGATAGGAAAAGTCTTGCTTTGAAGAATAAATAAGTAAAGAACCTCCCATGACAAATGAGAGAGTACAGAAAAGAGACATGGGAGAAAGGGTTAAGAGTGCATTGTAAGCATTGCTTTAAATCTTTGAAAACATGCAAATACCAAAAAAAGCACTCCAAACTATTATACTGCAGTATATATTATCTTTTCTAGTATCTGGTTTATATTAGTTATGGTATTAAACCAGAGTCTGCAGAGAAATAAATCACCTCACTTAGAAATTAAAGAAAAACAATTTTTAATAATAATAATAAAGCCAAAGTAGAAGTTCTTACGAAAAGAGATCACAGTAAACAAATATAGAAAAGACTCATCATAATTTTTCTGACAGATATATTTAATAAGAGGGGAAGTTTTTCAATTGATAACTACTTAATTTAAGGATATATTAAATACCCTTAAGAAGAAGAGAAAGAACTTGGGCTTCATATATGAATGTTAAGGAAGATCTTACATGGCAAATATTATCTTAAAATGCCTAAGAACCAGTCATTTCCAACTTTATTTCCTTGCCCTGATGGTTCACCAGAATGGTAATCCCTAGAAAGAAAAAGTAGGTATAGTTTGAAAGGAGAAAACCACTACAACTACCACCAACAACCAAAACAACTAATCTTCCAAGTTTATAGAGTTCAACTTCGACCTTCCACTATGATTCCATATTTCATATATTCAGTCATGCCTCTAACAAGAATTCATTGATTGTCTAACATGTGCCAAGTACTGTAATATTTTCAAGTTAAATGCATATATTGTAGTTGATGAGGCTTGTTTCAAAATGCTTAGTACTCACATTCACGTGTACAATACACAATAAAATTTGGTATTTACCATTCAAAATGTTTAGAATTGCATATTTCCTTGTCTTTCTACTAGAGAATTCCCCTCATTTACAATCCAACAAATTGTCTTAGACAAAGTAAAGGAGCATATATATATTTTTTACTGGGTATTTCAGTAATATATAGCAACTTAATACTATAATGGTTGCTGTATATGGTGATGGCCAATCCTAGACCACTTCTTCTGTCCAGATGTACTGACCATAGTATATATATGAGTAATCTGAGAAAGTATTTTCTCACATGTGTATTGACCAAAACATGGCCAAAAATTATTTTTAAGTGACAATGTTCTAATTCTGCATAAATAATGTAACAGGAACAAGGACATAGAAGTCTGTACAGCCATATGCCACTTCATCGGCAGAAAACCTCTCCTCCTTGAGTCTTCTTTCATAGTTTCATCTTGGAGTATTAAGACTGTTATTTTTTCTTTCAGCAGATCCTCAGGAGAGAAAATAAACCTACCTAGTCTATGAAGGATTGCTCAAAGACTAAGATTTGAACCTTCTATTGGACTGTGCTATTTTCAATTTTGTTAAATTGGGAAATATTTCCCAGAACCTCCTTCCCTGCATAATTCTAGATTAGAAGTGACCAACATATCAACTGGTGACAGGTTTGGAAGGTGGAAGTGAAGCACTGACTATGGCTTTTGCAGTCAGAGAGAGTGGGAGAAAGCAGCCATAATGGACAGACACAGAGATGCAGCTTGTCTTCCATCCATGGGGCCACATTCAGCTCATCTTCACTCCGAGCTTCCTTTGTCAATAGAAGTAGTCCTTTCTCTCCTGTCCAGGGAGGTTGTATGAGGAACCTGTGATGACTTCTCCTAATGTCACTCTCCTTCAGAGGAATACTAGCCTTTTTAAGACCTACCTCCAACACATATCACTCCTTCTGGACTTATAACCAGATTCAAGTTCTGGTAGTATTCAAGGATCAGATACAAAGTATGACCTGTGAGTATCTACCAAATCCATCAAAAGATTATAAGATTTTGCATATTTTTATAAACAAAAACTTGGGGAAAATGTATAGGAATGTATCCTAAGGATGTTGATTTAGGGTAGAAAAAAATAAGATTGGATCAGGCAAGGTTTATTCATATGGCTGCACTAAGAAGAGGTCTTAAATTGAATGTGTTATATCTTGAACAGATAGAAATTCCACTCACTTAATGAGCCAACTAAAACCAGAACCCAAAACTGACCAGTATGAAATGAAGTTGAAATGCTAGAATTTCCTTGGAATACAGAAGAAGACAGCCAAAGTCTTAGGTAGATCAGAATCCTAAAGTGAATTTACTATGTGAGACCTACTTATTAACTTCTGTGTATGTTCCATGGAAAGGCCCGTAGGATGCTTCATTTACCAAAGCTTTGAAAGATAAAATAGGGAAGGAATCGCCAACATTATTAAAGGCCTCTGTAGTGGTTAGTCATTGCAGGCCAGGAATGATTATGGGAAATATCAAAATCAATTATCCAAACTCAATGGGAATAAAGGAATACTGAAGTGGCAGGAACCAAATGATGTTACTAAACCAGTAGAGACAATGTGATAAAATGGTGGATTCAGATGTGGTGCCAGTTGGGTAAAAACACCATGAAGGATAAGGTAACGTCCTCTAGGATGTGGTAAATGCTCTAAATCAGCAGTCAATGCATGGTCTTGGATTCATGGTTATGGTAGTCAACATTTTTTTGAGTGTGACAATAAGATATTTATTAACAAATCCTAAGGCCATGCAGGGTAAAGGTTAAACCACCTGTTAGCCATCAATTTGCTTCACAGATCACTTGAGTCCCTATGTAGCTTGTCTCTGATTAACAGACTTCCTTACATTAACTTAAAACATTTCAAGCTTTTAGAAAAAGCTTTATTTCTTCAACCAATTACAAATCAAAGAATCTTTGAACCTACCTGTAAGCCCCCTGCTTCGATGGGTAGTCAACATTTTAAAGATGCCCCCCTAAGACTCCTATCCTCTGGTTATTCAAACACTACTTTTGGTACTGCTGAGAAAGGACTTCACAAATGAAATTAAGGGTATTATTCAAATGTTCTTGAAATAGGGAGGTTATCCTTGATTATGCAAGCAAGCCCAGTGTAACCACTTGAGAACTTAAAAGCAACAGCAGATGGCAGAAGAGGGAAGCAGGAAAGATGAAACAATAGAGGAGATCAGAGATATTCCAAAGGTGAGAAGGATCTGATTCATCTGCTGGTTCTGAAGTATAAGGGCCACATGTGAGTGCCAGAGAAAGGTCTCTAGGTCTAAGAATGGTCTCAGTGAATAACCAGCAACAAAATGGAGACCAGTGTCATAACCACAAAAAATTGAATTCATCCAACAACCTGAATATATTTGGAGGCAGATTCTCCCCTAGAACTTCCAATAAAGATACAACCCTGCCAACACCTTGGTTTCAGCCAAACTTGCCAGACTTCTCATCAACAGAACTGTGAGATAATTAAATGGATGTTATTTTAAGCATTTTAGTTTGTGGAAATTTGGTAAGGCCAAGGGTGGAAATAAGAGAAAAGTTTTCTTCGAGGATAAAGTAATCGTTTTGTTGAGGTAGATATTGAAACTTTCATCTGATCCTTTTGGGATCCTCATGCCAGTGAATAAACAGGCAAAAATTGTGACACACCACTGGCCTGGGTGATTGATCATGACTCCCAAGGTGAAATTGAGTCACTACTATACAATACAAGTAAGGAGGATGCCTGAAATGCAGAAGTTTCTTTGGGCCATCAGTTAGTACTTCTTGAACTATGATAAAAGTAAATAAAAATTTACGACTAACATAGGCATGATGGCTAATGACACAAACCCTACGGAAATGAAGATTTGGGCCATCTGCATAAACAAGCAACTACAACAAGATGATGCATTTGCTGAGTGCAAAGAGTGTAACTAGTAGATGAATAGAGTTATGAATACCAGCTGTGAGCGTGTAGGCAGTCACAAAAACAAGAACCATAGTAATCATGGTTATTTCTTCTTTGTTTTGATATGACTATATTTACATGTTATATATGTACTCATGTTAACACATATGTATGTATAAGTTATTTTTCTTTCCTCTTTTCCAGTAATTTTTAACACAAGATGTATTATTTGTGGTTAGCCTTATACCTTGGTATTTAAATTACAGGATAGCACACAGGGAGTGTTACTTAGCTATGTACAAAGCACTATGGACAGTGTATTCTGTTTGGGCTAAATAATTGTCATGTTTTTGTTGTGTGGGAAATAGTTTTAACAAGAAAATCATAAGAATTATTTTCAATTGACTTTATCTGCAAGTTAATTATACTCTTAAAAGGCACATGTGGATGCCTTTTAAGCTTAAAAGGGGCAGAATGTATTGAATCATGTTATTATTAACTTGGTTTACTTGGGAACTACATTTCTAACTTCACTGTATGGTTCCAAGTTAGAGGCCAAAGAGAAAAAAAATATGTAGAATTTTTGTGGTATTTGGAAGGTATAGTGAAGCAGTATCCATAATCTTGGATGTCATATATGGAGATACACAATGGACACCAGTGTGTCCTTATTTTCCTCTGCTCTGCCCCCAGATCATATACTGACTATTGACTTTCTAACAGTAGCCCATTAGCAAACACTTGTCTGTGGACCCACAAAGGTAGTTGATACTTCAAAGAAGCAGCTCCCTGTAGACCTCTCCATGAGTTCACTCTTTGTGGTTCTAATTCAGTGGCTGGAAGCACTTGGCTCTTAGAATTCCAGGAAGCTTAGACTTTTCCACCTATTCTAGTGCTTTGGGTGGTTTGTTAGTGACTCTAATCTTCCATTTCCTCCTTCTAGACCTTTAATTCAAGCTTCTTTCACTTGTGTGTTAGGTTAAATACCTATAATACATTCCTTATTCCCACACTGCTTAGAGCCTTTTAAGGTTCTGCTATGTGACTGAACCTTGCCTAAAATAAACTGAATTCCTTTGCAGCTAGGTAGAATTCGAATGATGAAGTCTTTGCAATTGAACAGAGACTCTTCTAAGACCACCAAGAGATGGAATTTCATAATTTTTATGTGTCGGATATTTCTTTTCAAAATTTTCTTTTCTGGGCAAATATTTTCAATCATTATTTCTCTAAGTGCATGTATTTAGCATGAAACAATCATTGAAAAAAAGTTTATACATTCTAAATGTGTTACAAACTGGAGATAGCTTGCATATTTCCAAGGTAGACATTTGATGCAAGGGTAGCCAGAGCAGGCTACCTACTGAACAACTCCAGAAATGGAAAAAATATCACAAAATTTCCTGTTCCACTTTCATACTGGAGAAGCTGAGTATGGTTAGAGGACATTCTTCACACCTGAAGGTTGGTGTCCCATGAAAATATCTGCTCTGAAACATCAGCTAGACTCTTCCATGTCTTCTTCCTTTCATTTTTCTTTTTCTTTTTTTTTTTTTTTTTTTTTGAGACAGAGTCTCACTCTGTTGACCCGGCTAGAGTGCCATAGCATCAGCCTCGCTCACAGCAACCTCAAACTCCTGGGCTCAAGCGATCCTTCTGCCTCAGCCTCCTGAGTAGCTGGGACTACAGGCATGCGCCACTATGCCCAGCTAATTTTTTCTATGTATTTTTAGTTGGCCAATTAATTTGTTTCTACTTTTAGCAGAGACGGGGTCTCGCTCTTGCCCAGGCTGGTTTCGAACTCCTTACCTTGAGTGATCCGCCCGCCTTGGCCTCCCAGAGTGCTAGGATTACAGGCGTGAGCCACTGTGCCCGGCCTCATTTTTCAATCCTTTTATTTATTCTCAGTCATTTCTCTCTCTCATTATCTTCAATGATATCCCAATAGTTCAGCAACATACTAAGTCCTTCTACTCAAAATGTACTTTACCCCTTATGAATTCATACCATTCTTTTATGTTCCACTATGCTTGGCTCCTCTCATACGTTCCTGAGAAATCATGTTACCTCCTCCAGAATTTCTTCTTCTACTGACCTCTTAGGTTGGGTTGGATGCTCCCATAATGCTACTTTAAACATATATCTATTACTAGATTTTCCATATTTTATTATTATTGTATATTTTGATGTCAGGCTTCCCCAGTAGACAATGAGTTCTTTGGAGACAAGATCTATTATCTAAGTCATATGATGCCAATTCATGGTAAAGGCTCAACAAATGTTTGTTTAGGAAATTTTGTCTCCAAAAATTGCCCCATATATTTTATAAAAATTCATCAATGATAATTACTTTATTTTAACTTTGAATTCATTTTCAAGTGTTATGAAAATGCTTTTTTTAAAATCTATTTTCTATAATAAGAGAGTAGAGTTTAAAGCAGGCAATATAAGTCTTTTGTCAGATTCTATGAATGTAAGGAATCATACAAAAATATGTAATATTACAGATCCATTTTCCTTTCTAATATTATCTTGGAACTTCCCTTGGTGATTGTATGTTATATATATATGCATTGAAGAGGCTTCACATGCATGGGTAATTCAAATTTTTAATATTTGGTATTCAAGTATTCATTGGAGATATATATTCCTCAGTACCTATATTTTTGAATAGTAATCAAATAAACTGTTGCCAAGAATAATATGAGGTAGAAGAAAATAAAGTGAGATACAGGCAAATTAAAATCCATGATCAGGGCCAAAAGTATAGTGAAATTAATATCTATATTTAAGTAAAAATTATTTTGGGTGATGGTATATCATAACCTTCATAGATTTATGAAATTGAAATGGTTATCTTAATTTCCAAAAGCAACAGAGAAATTAGTAATACTTTAAATATATGGTGAAATTGCAGGTTTTTTATATGATAGGAATTGGTAACTTATAAATTAAAAATATATGTTTAGCCATAACTGCAGTCTTCATAACTGCCTTTAAATTGAATTAAATTAAATGAATGATATAAAGTAAGTAATGTGGGAACATGCAAACAGTCACT